TGCACTTAAACAAGCAGGTCCTCATCCAATACAGGCAGTAATAAGGAGTAATAATTCATACATAGAGCCTTAAAAAATTCAACAGCCAATATTAAGTGTTTTTCAAAACCATTCTTTCTCCTTGTGACAGGAAAAGCTCATTTCAATGCACAATTCACCTCAAATCTGTCACAGGACACTGGGCTTGGGAAAGTACAGGTAGTGCAGCACCATGAAGTTCAGGTTGCAAAAGCTCTGTAACTTAGTAGGGATATGTACTGAGCTAATTATCACTGTATTTAATTAGAGATCATTATTGCGTTGGCACTTACAAAGCATTTCTAGATCTAGATTCATGGGTGTTTATCTATTGCATGATATAGACAGGCTACATGAAGTCCCATAGGGCTGAAGCAGCATCTGATGGTACAGGTCCTCATTCCTGCTCCTTTCCTGCCTACGAGGCAGCCCTGGAAGCAGACAACTCTTACCAATGGTTGTTATTGCAGAGATGGAGAAGAAGAAAGACCCACTGAAGTCCCATCTGCCCAGGCTAGTGCTGTTTCCCTGGAGCGTTATGCCACTCTTGTAGGCTTGAATTATACCCTGCAAAGAGACAATAAAGTGAGATCCCACAAACCCCCTGATGGCAAATTCATGCAACTGGCATTTCCAGTGCTGTCTTGTAAAGTCAAGCTACAACTACTTCCGACTCTGCTCTGTTGCTTCCCTTTTTAATAGAGAATATCCTGTACCTTAGACACCGAAGAGCTGAGAGGTCAGAAAAGCCAAAAGCCAGCATATTGGTTCTATGGAAAGGGCATCTACAGAATAAAATAAAGTTGCACATGCACATGGCAGATCACACAGGTAAATGTGGAGGAGGGCAGGAACTACCTTAGAGAAAGCCTACTCAGATAGTTAAGACTGCCTTGTGATATATTCATTATGGAAATAAAGTGTTTCCAGATGGGATATTCTGATGGCAGAAGTCCCAGAGCAGCCAATACATATACACAAGTAAAGTATTTGCACTAAATGGAATGATGATCCTGCACTCATCTCAACTGTGTAACTATTACATGGAGCTTGCAATGTGCCAGCTGTTTTCTGGTTTTGTGACTGAAGCACTTAGCAAGTTTGTAGTAGGTCTTCAACAGCCTTCAGCAGTAAGCCTCTGGCTAAGCATTTCCTTGTTAAATCTGGTTATTAAACATCCAGATAACATTATTAATCATTAGGCTCCCTGCCCTGTCGCAGCCCTATATGGGGACCACTGAATACTCATGCAAATCAAAGCCACTGGAATAAACAGACACTGCCAGGAGAAATGTCAAGTTCATTACTGTTAGGAAGAAAAAGCCACTGATGCCATCCTTAAAAGGGAGGATTCACAGCAAGTGGTGATAAGGATATCAGCTTTCATTTTTGTTTCAAGTTTTATTATAAATCAACTTTGACACAGCAACAATGACAGAAAATTAAAGATTGATTCTTCTGATAACAGTGGAACTAATGGAACTTGCCTTCCTACAGATGTGCCCATAGAGGTCGATTCATGAAAGAGAAATCCATAGATGGCCGTTAATACAGAAAAATTACTTCTGGCAAAGAAAGTCATTGGATTGCAAACTCCTGAAGGCTGAGGGCACATTCAGGAAGGTACCAGCATATACTTGCCCTAATTTAGTATATTCCTCTAGACTTCCGCTTTTGACTAGTGCTCTTTTTCATAGAAAAATAGTAGTTTATAATTTTTGATGGAACACCGCAAAACCCCAGCTTATAAACGCTCTAAAAGAACATTTGAATTTTCCCTGCTTTTTCCATTGGAAAGGCACTGATATGTCTCTGCTGATGATTAAAAAAAAACCCAACACCCAACAGTAAGTGTATTTTGGCCTGTGGGTTCAGGATTTCCTTAAGAGGAACTGAATCATACACATTGGGCCACATCTGCTTGGCTCTTAGCCTGCCCTTGAGAACCAAGCACTGTTGTGTTTTGCTTTACACTGATTTTGAGGTGAAATCCTAGGGGGTTTCCTTTTTCTCTTAATTAGAGTACTCATTTATACAGTGTCTGCTCCAACACTGAATTCATTAAAAGGCACCTAGCAGTAGCAGCATCTCAAATCCAGTGTTCAAAAGCAAGTATCTGACTGGTCTAAGACCCCAGTCAATATCACCAACTGCTCACACACAACAGATCTTGAAATTGCAGAGCTTGGGCTTGACATTTTGGAAACTTGAAAGGTCATGTGTGCAACTCAAAAGAACAGGAAAGAAACAGGTGGGTGGTTAGAATAATCAGAAACAGAACTCAATTCCACTTTGGTTTCTATTGACAGACAAGCTACTCAAAAAAAGAAATTTCACTTCTCTGCACTTATGTTCCACCCCCTAAAATAAGAACAATTTAGAGCTCACAGAACTGCTATATAATTTATAAATTAGGATATTTTAGATTCTTAGGGCTTCACAAGTCAATGAAAATTTGCAGACTGCCACATTTCCTCATCAAGTGGACTGTTCTATCTCTTGATAACACCATACAAAGCTTACTTGCATGGTCAAATATTGTCATACCCGGTGATTAAAAAAAAACAGCTTCCATTCAAAGTAGTCTATGTAAATGTAGATGTCTCTCCAGTTACCTCTGTGATAAAACATGTCTCAGAATACCCAAATGGGGCCTGCAGCTCTGTTTTTCTCAACCATAAACTCTGAAGTTTCAGTTCAAAACATCATAAGCTAATACTTACAAATGCATACCTTACATTGGATCATTATATCTCAGTACAAATCAAGGCCTGGTTTGATGCATCCTTCTGCAGGGAATTCTCTCCTTTAATTCAAGCTCACTGGTAACTACATGAAGAAGCTGTGGATTTTTGCTGAGTCCCTTATATAACATCTCTCTGACAAACTTGTTTTAGAACACCAATACCCCTTTCTTTCCTGTTTCTTCTGTCAATTAGAATAATCCTTGCTGGTTCTTCTTACAGGAGCATCAAAACACAACATTGTCTCAGTTTCCTTATTGGAGTTAAAAAATTAAAAATAATTAAAAAAAAAATCACTACTTCTGCCTAACTGCCTTTTAGCCCTTCACAGCTCCCAGGCTGCACTTCAAATGACAGATAATGAGTGCCTCATCTATCCTGGAAAAGTCTCACCAACCTATACAGCTTTGGCCAACAAACCCAATGTAGTTACAATCATACTATCAAAAATTAAGCCACATCACTGAATTACACTCTCAAAAGATCTTTTGTTCATATTGGTGTTTTTTTTTGTTAAAAAAACTAGGCAACACAAGAAGAGGAACAAGGTTGTTGGTTCTACCAGGACACCCACTTAAGTATCAAGAAGCTTAAGGTAGAGTCAGCCCACAGATTTCAGCTCCCTCTTGACATTTGAGAGTTACATCTTTTTCTTCTCTGTAAAATGTAGGTTTATACTTTTCTTTTTGCTGTGGAGTCACTTTATCCTTCAGCTGTACCTCAAGTCTCTCATTTACCACATGTGCTGTGTTACCAGTTCTGGGCAACCCCCAGGTTTCCCAGCTTACACACAGCACATGCAGGCCCCTCCACCAGCAGCCCGTGGCTGCAGCACAGCTTCTGATCACTAAGTGCTGCAGAAGGGAGAAACATTATTTACTCTGACCTCCTTAAAACCAACTAAAAATTGTCTTTCACCTCTGCACAAAGTCACAACTGCATGTGACTAAGGTACAGCTTTCAAAAAAGGCATTTAAGATCAGCAATAAGGAATGAATGCATGTGTATATGTAAACTGAGACACTACTATCTTTACAACACTATGCTTCTCTTTCCTTCTCTAATCTTTACAGTAAGAAAATACCTCCCCCCTCACCCCCCAACAACAGCAAGACAAAGTGTAAAGGGGAAAAACTGAAGCACTGGAGGATTATGACCCTACCAAGGATCTCCATAAGAATTTCTGACTCTCAAGCTCAACATTTCTTTTTTTTTTTGGGGGGGGGGCGGGGGAGAGAGAGAAGACAAATCACTTCACCCCCTGAGAAAGGAGTCATACAAATGACCCTTTTATAAACCACAGTTCCAGTCACTGCCATTGCCCTGTTGCTTCTGAACAATAGGCATTTTGGCCAGAGTTCACAGTAATCTTGAGATACCTTTGCAGGCAAAAGCAGTATTTCCTAATTGTATTTGAAAGCAGTTCTTAAGGAAGGCAGAGCACCATGTGAATGGACTTGGATAAGAAACTTCATTCCCAAGTTTAGTTGAAGTTTACATGTTCATATAGGGGAAAAATCCCCAAGCAAACAAACAATTTTTGCAGGGAGTACAGGTTCTCCTGAAAATTTTTTACCTCATTTCAGACACTTCCTCTCTTCACTTTTCCAATCTATCAAGGAGGGAAAGGAGGTGTTCCCAAGGCACCAAACTACCATTTAGATTAATAAGAAAATATAAACTTTGTGCCCTGGAAATTCTGTGCAATGTTGATATATAAACATTCATTTACATCTCACAGACTACCAGCTGTAAATCAGAAGAAAACGGTTAATATTAACCTTGTCTCAGATTGCAAGAACGAAGGTCAATTAACTTCAAAATAATTTAAAAAATACGTTATGAATCACACCTTTCCCAGCCACAAACTCTGATCCCCTATCCTTGCCTGGAATGGAAATGTATCTGAATTCTGTCCAAAAGAACAGACACAAGGTGCATTATGAATTCAATGGAATCCAGCTGTTTTTTTTAACTTCATGTCACTTGAATAACCCGAGACCTGATCAAATAATTACACACACACACACACACACACTTGCTAATATAATTGGTACTAGTTCCTCCAAACTGAGTGAACCCTACCAGCAAAAGCACTTTGACTTTGCAGCTGGGTCTCCACTTCCTAGAATTCAACTAGACTTACTCTGCAACAGAAAGGAGCAAGAGATGTAATAAAGCACAGTAATGCTGCAGCCAGTGCTACCCTAAACCACTAGTACTTTTTCTGAAAATTAAGCATTTAATCTGTGGCATGATTCATAGGACAACACATTGTTGAACTCCAGCTGCTTCCCAAACTCCAATGATACAAGTAACTTGAGAGCTGGACTGCCACAGAAGTAAGTAGGGTGTGTTGAAAGGAACCGCCTGTATGATCTACAGAACAGAGCACAGAAGGTTGCATTGCATCATCCTTATAACTACCAGAGAAAGAACTTCAATTTTACTTTTCTTTTAATTGCATTTCAAAAGGATCGAATATAATGAACAAGTACACGTAAGAGTAACCCACAGCTTCAAACTGATAAGAATTACCATCGCTCTTTTAAGAAGGCACCCTCCTGGTCTTTAGATTTCCACTTCTAGTAGTGTCTCAAACCTTCCTGGTTGGACAGGTTGAGACAGTTATCAGTTAATTCCAGCTTGCTACACTTTTTACTGACTAGCTGTAACCGAGAGTGTGGTAATACGGAAAGCAGCAGAGATATATATAGATATAACAGGTTCCTGTGCTTCCCCTGCCCCCTTCTCTTTTCAAGCACAGGTACTAGACAGTACGTTACTGACCAGAAGTCCTAGGAGTGAGTCAACTAACCAGAAACAACACTTCATTAGTAGGTCTTCTCCTTGCCTTCCAAAAAGTCCAAAAAATATAGTGCCAGCCCATTCCCTTACAGAATACTATGTCCCTATTGTTTTATAGAATACTTTTTTTTAACAACTTCTGTCAAAGGTATACTATAATAAGATATTATAAGTACAGAATACACACCCTTGGTGAATTACCCACTGTCCTTTTTAAATTAATAGGTCTGGAGAAGAACAAACTGGCTATAACTTAACCAAAGTAGTAGTACATTTTGATATGAAGGAAATTAGAACAATTACAGAGGATTAACCCTGTTTCATCTGTGACAAGACAATTGATATTTGACTAAAGTGGGTTCTACACAGATGTCATTGCTCCACAATACCAAGAGCCAATGCTGTTCCTTAAAGTCCCTTATAACCAACAGGTGATCCCTGATGCTCACCCCCTTAATAGTCAGTCACTCACTGCTGCATCATCTATGGGCAAGATAATTTTAGTAAACTGTATTTACAGGGTTGTATTTCCTGACAGCTGGCACAAATCTCTGCTGGTTCAGTGTCAGTGCAAGCCAAAGTATTGATGAGGATCTTTCAGTCACATGGGATCTTGATGCTCTTGTAAACATGAACCACAACTCCGTGTAGCTCTAGCTGTTGACTCTAGAGATAACAGTATCTAGATCCACCTGTAGGCTTTTAGTTTATGGCCTGCCCTTTAGAATTACGTCCTTTTCACCACACCATAAATTTTGCTAGAAAAAAAGTATTATTTACTTCATTTAGCCCACCTTTCATTTTCTCCTTCCCAGTTTATTTAAGTAACCAGGTTTAAATAGCATTATACATTTACAATAATAGAAAGTGGATAGAAAAATATAATAAATACAGGAAACAGCTATAGTAGGAAAATACTTATACAACAAAAAAGTTTATAGCAAAACCAAAGGTATCATGAAAAGGATGTCATGGTAACAGCCTAACATACAAAATGCACTGTTCCAAGTCCAGCCATATGGCCAATCATCTGACTAAAGAGGCACTGAAAAGTACAGCAGCTATAGCTACACTGGTGGCTGTAACCACTGAAGATGATGCAAGAAAATGAGTGAGTCTGGAGGAGAGCTCAGCTGGACCAGAGCTATAGATAAACTCACCCTAGGCAGTAAAATCAAGAAACTTATGCACTAGATCACACTGGGTAGTGTGCCTAGGTGCCCCCCTTCCACAAAAGGTCAGAGAGGGTTTCAGCTCTAAGAGATATGCCAATACAGAAAGTGCCCTCTGTGGGTTCAGCCTCACTCTCTGGACACTTCTCCAATCTGGAACCAGCATAATTTTTGCCTGGACAGAGACTCTTATGAACTTTTTTCCCCAGCTGAGCCCAGCTACTGTTCTTCACTGTACTGAGAGTGTATCACCTGAAACCTGCCTTATCACTGCATCTACTTCCATCTTCTGAAACTCTTATCATTGAGAATTTCCTTTGATGTGACTTCACTGCCAGTAATTCTGGCATGTGAAGGCCACCACCATATTTATAATAAAAATGCAGATATTGCCCTCTTTGTATGTTGCCTAATGGCTCTCAAGGGACTGTTTGCTTTCATCTTTTTCCTGGTGAACACATGTTCATGTCACAGACTGTATACAATGTCAGAAAGATAGCCTAGGGTTAGATGGGTCAACAAAACCAAACTTAATGTCTTCCTGGAGCAGATGGTACTGGATGCACAACAGAGGGATATGTGACCACAGTACCTCTGTTGTCCCCTGTACTGTCCTTGTTCTAAGCTTAAGTAATGAAAGCCAAGAAAAACATTTATCAGTCTTCCCCATATACATACACACATATATGTATGTATAAACACATGAGCATGTATTTTTTTGCTTGCTTATACATAAAGCATTCACACCTGCTAACACTTTCTCTCCTGCCATTCAGTTTTTGTTTGTTGGTCTGCTATTTCCACCTCCTTCTAACTTTTCTTAACTAGAAAATTACTTCCCTCAAAACGATATGAGCCACAGAAATTACTGAATGAGAGTTCACTGGTCTAGCTACCACAGCATGGCCTGCTTGCCTTTCCTTTTCCTCCTGTCCATCCTCACACCATACTCTCCTGCCAGCTCCTCAAAGCAGAAGCTGTCTACTTTTCTCCATCTGTGCAAGGGCTGGAACAGTGGCTTTCCACTGCCAGGTGGTAACTAGGAACTAAGCGATAAACAGGTTGTAAAATTATGTTTGTACACTGCTTAGCAAACTGGGATTTTATTCCATATTGGCCCCTATACACTTAAAATAAACAGAGTTTAGAATTATCTAAATTATAGGATGAAAGAGCTGTAAGAAAACAATAAGGAATTGCCAGTAATGTCAAAGCAATTAAAATTCACACACTGCTTTATGTTTTCACAAACATTCTTCGTATGTCTGTCTTAATTAGCAAATAATCAACTGTGTAACTAGAATATAAGTTTGTTATCTGAAGAGGGTCAGTGATGACACTGCCTGATAAACTATGTGCAATTTACTGCAATAACAATTTGCTGCACAGAAAAACATCTCATTTGAGCACACTTGCAGTATTCCAAGCAATTGCTACAGGAAATTAGAAAAGAGCATAGGAAAGAAGCAATCCTGGGGTTTATCTAATTATTCACTGTGAAAGTTATTAAAAATAACACACAAAGCCATTCAAACTCAGACTATGCTTTCTTAAAGCATAAAGGCATGCACAGACACTCCATAAAATGAAACAAAACCTCTTTGTAACTTCCTCATCTAGGGCCTGCTCAGGTCACAATTAAAGTAGTCACACAGCATACTATAACAGTATCTGGTCTAAAAGGATTGGGGCAGCTGTCCTATTCCTTTGACTACTAGAAAGCATCAAGAATTAGTAGAGGTGACCCTACAGTAAAACAAGCCATTGGAATAACATTAGAAATATCCTTCTACCTACTCAGTTGTGATCATCATCATGATCTCTCCACTATACCACCTCATTACTGTCATTCAAGTTGAAATCCTTCCAACCGCTGAGCAAGGGCCCTGCCTAAGCACTCACTGTTTGATGGGCCAGGGCTGAATGAAGCTCAGCTCTGACCTGGCTTTATGAAGTGCTACACTGGTCTTCTCTGATGTATTTCTCACTTCCCTCTGATTCTTTATATTCCATAGCTAGTGCAGTACACAGCACACACTATAAATAATGAGTAGATACCACAGCAGCTTACAAGGGTCCAAATTCATATCATATCTTTAATGTACTATTGACTGCCACAGAAAATTTACTATTTGGAACATCAAGGGATGAGAGCCTGACATAGGTTATCAGCAAAATTTTGTCTGCCAGGGCCTTGCTGAAACTCCTGAAGAGACTATCTATATGTTTTTCTGTGTTTTTATCTCTCTTGGGGAAAAAAAAAAAAAAAAAAGGAAAAGCTTATCCATGTCCCTTTTGGGTCCTCTGAACTCTGGTGGACAACTACGATGGTTTCAGCCACCGTGAAACACCGCTTTTACCAAAAAAAAAAAAAAAAAAAAAAAAAAAAAAAAAAAAAAAGCCACAAGTTTTCTTTGCTAGGCAACATCTATTTGAGGCAGATGGACCAAAGCTAGCAGCAGATACTCAACCACCAGCACCTGCTGAACTAGACTGGTTTGGGTAAATAAACAAGTCATTTCAGTATTGTAGGTTTTCCTTTTTTTCCGATAAAAATTGAACAAGGAGAGAACCTATTTATCCCACTTTGCTCATATCTGTATCGTAAAATGCATCCATTTGTACTTTAATAAGATTTACATTTTACAATCATCCTGCAAATATCCTCAGGAAGGTTTTTAAGGATCTCTTAAGTTGCATTACCAGGATTTTCTATCTCCCTTGAAATAACAAGCAGAAAACTGAGAAACTCTGACAGTAGTATAAACACCAATTCAACCTACCAGGACAGAAAACGTTAGTTCTCTGTTAGAATTAACCACTTGCAAGAGGTCAAAGACTATGTATTCTTAATGAGTTCAATAGCAAACACAGCCACCCGCAATTAAACCCAGGTAATTAGCACACAATGGGAAACTGCCAGGACGCGTCGCTTGAGAACTCGCGAACGCCACAACTTGTGGGAAGAAAGCGGAGAACCAGAGAACCTTTCTCAGCGGGAAGAGGCCGCAGCCCAACTCCTCCGTGCCAGCCTCAGCAAAGCCCAATCCGAGGCGCAGAGCTCCTGCTCCGCGGAACCTGCCCGCCGAGCCGAAAGCTTTTTCCCCGCCTTGGGCAGCGTTACGTGTGCGGGTAGAGATTAAAAAAAAACCCAAAACCAAACTTTTTTTTCTAAATGACTTGCAGGCAGGAGGCGAGGCTGCTCGTTACACACCCCCCCCACACCCCCCAGACACACTCCAGGAGGCAGCGCCGGTCCCCCCGCAGCGCCCCGCGGGCGGGCGCATCGCTGCGCTGGCAGGGGTGGGGGGCGAGGGGGACCCTGCAGCCCCCCGGGCTCACCTGGATGAGCCGCTGCAGGGCGGGCGGCTGCAG